ACAGCTGTGGCTGAAAGGACAGCTTCTAATCCTGAAACATGAACACCCTCCTTTGTAGCATAAATTAGTTTACTCAGGTATAGAAGAATTAAAAAAAAAAAAAAAATCCAAACCACACCACAACAAAAACAAACAACAACAACAAAAAACCCTGTAATTTGTTTCTCTTTTCCTATCAACAACAGAAGACATTCAGTCCAAAATATCACCTCAAGATCTGCATTGAAAAAAAAGCATAGTGTTACACAGAGGTAGTCATGAAACTTTAAAAACTGTGCAGATGTGAAAAAGCAGCAGCTCAACTTACAAACAACAGGGTGTGCATCATTTTAGTTTGTGATTTTTTTTTTTTTTTTTTTTAAACACTGACAGGGATTATCTGAAGCGTAACTGTACCCCAACTGTAGTTGATGGAAATATTTTTCAGTTGCTCTCCTTGCAGCAAAGCTGCCTGCTCATCTCCAGTGCCCTCTGTCCCCTCCTCACCGGGTACGACCCGAAGCGGCCGCTTGTAGCGCCCGTCGGGTTTCTACCCTGATTCACGGACACGGCTTATCAGGCTGATTAATGCCTAACTACGTATCAACCTAGTCACAAGATATAAATACCATCGCAGAGGTTTCCCCATTGTTTCTTAAAATGTGCGTTGCTTCAAAAAAACAGCTTCATTCAGCTTCACAAGATCCCTCTGGAGAAGTGTAAGAAGAAAGAGGCAGAGGAGCCTTTTACTTTCTTAATGGCCACTGCCAACGATCTGGAAAATACCGCCAGGTAACTTATAGTTTAAGTCAGTGATGACCTTCAAAGACTTGATATTCAGTCTGTCTCTAGCTTCTGATCTTCTAAGGCTAATTCTGCTCGCACTGTCCTCTATGCAATTCAAAATACAGTCTTTTGGGAGTTAACTATACAAACCCTGGACTCTTTCCCACACGCATGTAAGATTTCATTCATTTACAGGTAACGGGGTGCAGCCACATTAACCATCCTGTCTTTTACAGAGCACGCTATCCATGCAAGAAGCACCTTCCAAATCCACACACTTCAACCGGTGAAAAGCGCCTATGGCCTACGCTGAGCTTTGTGAAGCAACGACCAGCCCTCGCACAGCATGATGCAAGCTCTGCTCAGCTTCCTCCACCTGCAGAGGAGGCAATGCGCCACCGTCGGGAATTTCAGCCACCGACTGATGTCCTGCCTCTCTGTAAAGGGCAAGACGACTCCTGCTATACGGAGGAGAAAGCTCCCAGCTGCGTGCCACGGCGCCGGGCAGAGCCGTCACCTCCAAAGAACCCGCTGCTCTCCTTGCAGGCTCTCGGCTCCCGCTCCTGGGCGCGCCGATCGCCACGACCGCGCTGACCGCGGGCTGACATGGGGGGCACTGCCTTGGGAGAGCACTTGGGAGGATCGGAGCCTGGCGAAGGCTTCCTGAGGCATCTGGGCAGGCTTGCAACCCGAAGGCGCGTTTGCAGCTTGCACGCTGCAGCCGTAACTGCCAGAGCGCTCAGCAGCAGCTAAAAATCACGCCCAGCACGTGAGCTAACTGCACAATCAGCTACTGCTGGTTTCTGGCCTGTGCTAGGCAGTAAGGATATGGCCCAGTAAGGCCAGTTCCCTTCAGTGGGGACACGCAAGATCTTGCACAGCTATCGGAAGGTCCCTGCAGGGACCGCAGCCTGCGGGTACCAGAGCCCCGTGCCAGCAGGGCAGAGGCTCTGCTCATACACTGTGCACGCTCCAGCAGCTCGACTTTAGCTACGCCTATCGTGGCCCCTGATCTGGGCATCCCTCCCATGAAGCACATCGCTTAAAGACATCCAAAAGGCCAAATGCTGCTACAGACCCTTGCATCTCCCTAGCACACAGCAGCAGGCATTTTGCTAACAAGTGAAATACAGCATCCAGCTTTACATCCTCCAAAATAAGCCTAGTTTACCTGCACCACAAATACTCTACAAAGGGAATCCACATGCAGTAAGTGGGGATGACTGCAGGATTTACAAAACCTTTCCTTTGCCCTGAACCAAAATATTGATGTAGATAGGACAAGGAAAGAGCAAAGCAACAGTCAGGTTTGTGTCTCACACACACACACAGTTACGTGACACAGATATTCAGCACCCCCTGATACACGCTACCTTTAAAGGTCTGGTTTTCTTTCTTTTTTAAAGAAAGTTTAAGGAAAACACAGGTGCAGACTGAGCAACAGAGCTACCACATCCCCTAGAATTAAACAACTGCCATCCCACATCAGTTCGAAAGGCCTTGACCTTTGTCTCTTCTTTGATTGCTTAATTATTACTCTCTGCCTTTTCTTTTTAAGATGTTACTTTTTAGCAGAACAGTAGAGGTTTTCAATCATGTGTAGGAATTCTGATTTGGTTAAACAAATTATTTTTTTCCTTTTACACAAGCCCAAAAATAAAAAAAAACTCTTTCTGCCAATGAGGCAGCAATGCCACTGCTGAGGTACCTGGGTATTTTGGACTTCAAAAAACAACACAGATTTTTTTTTTTTTTTTCCCCAATACTTCTTTACCAGAAGTAGTGAACTAGGTTACTTATAAGCAGTCTTGGAGAATATAAGAGATCTGAATGATTTGTAACTGTAGCTTAGATTTGCCTGCTAAAGCTGTTATCTCCAGTCACATGCCTCTCTTTTCTGATGATCATCACTGGGCAGGAACAACACTTTCGTTTACGAAGCATCACCATTTCCAGCACAGAAACGTGAATGAGCCCTGTTTCTGGCTTACCATAATGCACCAGGCTAAAAGCTTCAAAAAATAAATTACCAAAGGCTCCTGCCTTAGAGATGCAGCAATAGCTGGAAACAGTCGCAGCACCAGCTATCCAATTTTAATCTGCCAGAATAAAGTGACAGTTACGAATTTTATCTAACTGTTCAGTAAAAACAAACTGATTGACCAGTAATTTACCTACAATACATACCACAGTGGATTACGTGTAACACTTTAGGCATGGACAAATTATATGATAAAAGATGAACACACTCACTTTGTCTCTCTTGCATTCAGTCAAATCCCACACTTAAAGTGTTGTAAGAATGAATTGCCCAATATAACTGAAGAGAAGGTAAATAATGTCTCAGTTCACAAATAATTATGGGGTGGGGGGGGTTGGGAGGGGATGTTTCCCCCCCACTGTAATAAGTATTTGCTAGCATGCACCCTACTTACAGGTCTATTTCACGGTCACTGTCACTCCAGTTATATTAAATATTTTACTTGCTCTTCCACCTTCTTGAATCGTAAGATATTGAAACAGGTTAATATCTGTGGTTCCAGAGTAAATTTAGAACGTACACAGAAATATATGTTCAAAAGACTCCAAATACATATATGTGTGCACAAATATCTGTATCTATACATACACACATCCCTATAGCAAAACACTGAAAGAAAACTGTTCCTATCATTTTCTTTTTTACCCAAAAGGCCAATCTACAGGGACCAAAACCAGACAATGTTAATGTAGTGACCAAATTTATCATGCAAAGACATTTTTCTTCTTATGGAAGAAGAAAATGCCGCTTTGGAAAATGAAGAGCTGAAATTCAATCCAGACAGCAAGGTTTTCCAGAAAGAACAGTGCTGAACTTTGCTTAGACAGCACAGGACTACCTTTAGTCTGTTTTCTCAGGATATCTCTGCAGCCTGACACTTTCTAAACACAAACACTCTAAGGTACATACAGGAAGAACCAGTTAGAAGCAGCACTGCTATGGTAATCTGTGATGACATCTTGGAGAACAGACAATTGTGTATGTTGGGATATAACCACTGGCATGTTCAGAGCGCCATGCAAGTGCCTGCTCTCATTCAGCTCGGATGCATTTAAAGTTGAACAGGGGAGGAAAAAAAAGAGGAGGGAACTGGCTCAGTGCTCCACATCCTGCAGCACAAATGAGAGAATTGTCTGATGTTTTCTGAGTTGGCGAAAAAAGCTAAGTCAAGACACTACCAACAACACAAAGAATAAAAATAACAAAACAAAAAAACCCCCAGCCTTCCACGACCAATTTTCATGCTAAAGCAGATGAAAAGTTGGCCTGGCAGTTTTCATGCAAAAAGCAAAGGCTGAACAATGTATTTTTAGAAGCAAATTGTCAAACACTGCAGGTCTACCTACCTATCTATCATCCAGAAGCATCCATTAATAATCATCTCCAATTCAAGATCTATTTGTTTATGTATACATAAATAGAAATGTAAATGACATGGGTTTCTGTGGAATTATATTCTGCCTGTTACTCACCATTGTGTTGAACAGAGGCATTCTTGGATATCAGCTATCAAAGATCACATGGTACACTGAAGCAAACAAACCTAATTATTAATCTCTGCAGCCAGGATTTTTTGAATCAGCCCTGTCACTATCACTGTTTCAGTCTGAAGTTCAGTACCCGATGGCCAGCGAGTGCACAGTAAAGATTCATTTCCGAGTACAGTAGTGGTGCCATTTATGTGGACTCACATCATCTCCATTTGCTGGCCTATACACAGTTTCTTCATGTTTATATACATCTAGTTTTAAAGGCATTTTTACCTAGCAAACCAAGGGAAGCAAACTCTCCATAAAAACAGTAATACCATGAAATCAGATAGTATAACCTATCAGCGGGCCTCTCTAAGTGTAAGCAGTATTCATCCATTTTCCCTTCTTCCCATTTTAACCCACACGTGGTTAGAAGCTACAGATGTAATTTCCACAATAGCGTGCACTGTTTCTTCCTCTACTGTAGTATTAAGCACCTTACTCAAAAGCAAAGTACTTCCCGAGACCACAGAAGACTCCACAAAATGAGTTTGTGTCTGATCGTTCCCCTCACCACCACCCCAAGCTACTTCCAGTGACTTCACCAAGCAACAATAAATGGCACTAAGTCCCATTTGAAATTCACTGCTTAAAAACTGCCTCTCATCATATGAGGTCAACCAGATACCACAGAAATTACTGTAAATCTCAGCAAACCTTACTTCTGGCAGAGGGCTGGCCGGTTTGGTTAGGATTCCTCCCACATAAACAACATTGGGTAGCGTAGGTCTTGGAAACTCGAGTGCTACGTCAGTACAAAGCATCCACAGGCTGGATCCATGAACCAAGTCATACATGGACCGTTCTGGCAGAACCTTGTATTTCTGCATTATCCTTTCGTATTTTGGCAGAACCAAAAAACTGACTCCGAATCTTGAAATAAGATAAACAACAGTATTTTTAATCCTCTCAAATAGGTTCATGTGATCTGTGAGCAGTGAGTTAAATTCTGGAACGTAAGACAGGGGAGCTGGAGCACCCACTTCTGCCGGATACCAGAGGCCAGTGGAAAAGACGGCATATTTAACCCCTAAAAGATGAGCTATAACAAATCCACACATCTCGTTGGGATCTACCAGGAGCAGGTCAAATTTTTCCTGTTTCAGAGCATGCATGAGGTTTCGGTTGCCCACAATCATGTCGCAGTTCTTGGAATAGTGGTCCAGGATATCGAACAGTTCGAGGGCTGTCAGTCTCCCCGAGAAGATACTCCTCATCTTGGACTGGAGAAAATCATCCGAGGTGCTGCTGTTAAAGATCCCTGGGTAGCGCTGAAGTCTATAGTGATTAGATGGAGGAATCTCTCTGCCCTCAGAGAGGAGAAACACTGTCTGGTGACCTTGGTCATGCAAGGCTGAGGCCAGAGTCTTGAAAATATAAAGATGGCTTTCGAACATAATTGGCGGCACAACAACTATTTTGGCAGCCCTCGCTATCCCGACAGCACTCCACAGGAGAATGAAAGCTGGAGCGTACGGCTTCATAGCTGAAATGAGAAATAAAAGCATTACATCAACAGAAAAGACCTTTGTATGCTACCTGGGAATTTTAAAAATAAGTTATGATGTGGCTGTCCCATGAAAGCTAATCACATCTCCCCATTTCGAAGACATACTTGCAGTGGTCACGGGGAACAAGAGAGCCACTCGGCTTCAGAGTGCATTTGGTAGTGCCCAGTTTGCAGCGAGATCTGCCTTTTCCCCTCCCTCTCCATCTGGCATTAAGGGTAGACAAAAGACTACTTCCAACACAGATACCGATAGGGCACCTGCACTACATGGCAGGAAAACCAACTGAGACAATGAGCTTGGTACCCTCCGTGGAGATACCGCATGCACCACTTCCGAATTACACACCTGTAAGATCTTGAAGTCAGCTCTGAAAGCTAGATCCTGCTACGTTTGGGATTATATTTAAAAGCACAGCTGCATTACTGTCACAGTAATATATTAAGTGAGTAAGAAAGAGGGCAAGTTCAAAGACCCAAGGCTAAAATCCTGTGCTTTTTCACACCAAACCCAAAGGATGCACTGGTGATTTTCAGTGCTTAGGCTAGAAGATGACTCTTTTTATAAATACAATTCAGTTTTGCCCCCTCAGCTGGAACTTCTAATACGTCCATTTTGATTTTGTAGTTTGACAGCACCACACTTCATACTACTGATAACATGGTTATGAACATTTCTACTGCAAGGTCTTGTCTGACAGTCACCCACAGCTTTCAAGTTGTCCTCCTTTGAGTTGCAACTCTCTATTCTGATTTAAGGATAACATTTTCTGTTTTGTTTTTATGTAAGCCAAGAGGAATAGAGAAGATATATATATTTTTTTTTTTTTTTTCTCCTAAAAGGAGATGCAAATTCAGGCAATGTTTCTCTTTAGTATTAACACTGATCAAACAGATGGGTGTGGAAAGTCAAAATCTGGCAGGAAGATGCTACCATCAAATAAGGACTAACTTAACTACTCTGAGCTTTCAAAAATTACGCTTTGTGTATGAGAACAAGTGAAGTAACAGAAATTAGCACTACATACATGAACATCGTAACTTCCACTGAAGCACTTTCAGAAGTACTTGATCCTGAGCCTACTTGAATCTGCACTTGAGCACACACTCGAGCACGAACTCTAGCCTACACTGAAAGCCCCACTGCTGTCCTCAACACACACAGATCGTGATAATAGCAGGCTGCTGGGGAAAGAAAGGGAAAATACTTTTCCCCTCCCCGTGTTTTGGTGAGTAGAGTCTATAAAATGCACCAGATGAAAGCAAAGTGCATTAGAAGCACGGAGAGGGCATGTCAGAAAGCTCCTCAGTCACTTTAACACTCCTAGGACAGAGGAACGAGCACAAGCCAAACCAAACAACGTGTTCTTTCCTCATGCCAAACCAATCCATGTGGAAATCCAAGCCTGTTGCAGTGTCCTTTATAAATAAGCTCAACAGAAACAGATAACGCAGCTACTCAGTCCTTGTTAACTTCTTACAGTGTAGTCTTATAACCCTCCTACAGCATACTGCTCAGGTCGTAAGTTGTTGGGGTTTTTTTCATGTTACGTGGGTTACCAGCTCACCAACAGAACATCTCATATTTGTATTGCTACTATAAAATATTGAGCTTTCTGAAAGATGCCCCCATTTTCTCCTCCTCCAGCTTTGGCTAGTGGCTTGACTTTGAAACATTTACAAGTGTGCACCAAGCCCAAATAAAGCCAGAAAATCACCACCAGCTATGCTGACTATTTAAATCAAGTTTCTCATGTGAAAAGTTTTCTTACTGGATTTGAAGCTTCCTCTGCATTTGTCTCCCAGAAGTGTTAGCCACTGCCTAGGAGATTACCAATCACCACTTAGAGAACTCTACCAATTTTAAAATAATTATCACCGGCAGTAGCGTAATACATATATACACACATAAGTATGCACAAAAAAGTTCACATTTGGGTAGACATTTTGGGGGGGGGGGGGGTTTCTTCTTTCCCAAGACAAAGACCACTGCACAAAGATGCACAGCAAAACCTTATGGTACCCATGGGCAAGCAGTGAGGAACTGAAACACGGAGAATTTATTGAGATCTCCACACCACCACCACATTCACTGGCTGACGCAGCGTTCTGAGAAGTACTCAGGAGGCTTCACTGCTTCTAGGCACAGAGCTCAATTTTATGAATAACACTTCAGGGGAAGAAGGAAGAAATTACTTGCTGCAAATATTACCAGTAGCATAGGAGATATTCACTATTACTGCACTATTGCCATCAGGAGAGATCAATTTTTTTTTTTTAAGCTGCTCCAATTCGGATGTTGGAGATTACCCTAAAACATCTTCTCCTTGGCAAATAGTACTAGTTAAATCGATCTAAACAGCAATCCTATTCACTCTCCAATAAAATTGGAAAAAGCATTCTTACTACATGAGAAGCAGCTTACCTGCCAGCATGGAGGCCTGACCTGCCGGAGAGCTCAAGGTATTAAATTGCTTTTTTAGTTTAGGTCTTTGCTTTTACTGGAGGCTTTCTAGAAAACTGCACACCCTCCCAACCCCCCTCAAGCTCAGCTGCCCTCCCAGGAGCTCCTGTTCAAAGGACATACCAGCACTGAGCCCTGCTCACCATCCCACTTTGCTCCTGTCCATAAAACTCACAAGTTTCAGGCCACAGCAGAGGGTTGTGCAAGTGCAGACATACACAGGCTTGGCACAGCATCCAATACTGGTACCAACAAGCCTTGCTCAGCTATCTTCAAGAGGGCCTCGCTGGAGGATAACACTCCTTAGGTAAGTGTGGGTTCAAAAAAATAAGTAAATAATGGTTCATCAATGAGATATCCAAGAAAAATGACTGATCAAACTTGGAAAAAACACCATTATTGATTACATCTCCCCATGCCATAAGCATTCCCACGGTATTAAGTTACTGCTCCTGCCAAGAATAGCAATATTACAAAATCATGGATGGAGGTGTAGGATTGGGAAACTCAAACAGTTAACATTTCTATCAGCACTATAAATCAAAGGTACCAGGAGCCTAAGGGCTAGTCATGGTCCAACAGGTTGCCAGATGCCAGCATGCCGGCTGTACTTTGTTCTCCTGACCCAACACAGGCTTGGGGCACAGCACAGAAGATACAATCCTTAGCCCTAAGGTGTATTTTCCACAGCCAGGGCTGTGCACATGTCACCAGAAGTCATGGGAGCGACAGCTCTACTTCCCTGGGGTGGTGACAGTACCACCCCACCGCTTCCTGTCCCCACCCGCACCCAGCAGCAATGTTTTAAATGGGAATCCCACTGAGTATTTTACTCTTTATGAAGGTACTACAAAGCACTACCTACTTAACAGGAAAATCTCAATATAATTACAAGCAATTTACCAAACATCAGTTTTTCTCCTCTTGAGGTGTATCAGTGTCAAGAGATGACAACACACTTCCTCAGGAGTCTGTAGCCTTGTGGCTTCATCAGAACTGATAAAAAAATAATCACTTCTCAAAAATGTATTCTGCAACTCCCATTTTCAATGCAAGCGTCTTCCTCAGAGACAGAAAAAGATACATGTACAGGACATGCAAACCCATAGGGACATTAAACACATGACAATATTAGCGAAAAGCCAGGGAAAAAAATGGTATTAACCTTACACTGAACTCTTGGCAGGAACCTGCAGGATGAAGCCTCACCATTTCATCCCCTGGCCAGACAGAAACTGGTCCTAATACAAAACTTTCAGGGCTTGGAAGGTTTGTATTTAGGAGGCACGAGGGCAATGTGTCACAGCACTTCATAAGTCAATTAATCACAAGCATAATTCCCATTTGGCAGCCTGGGAGGCGAGAAGAGGTAGGTGCTGGGTGCCATCAGCAGGGCAATACCATGCGACTACGCAAGCTCAGCTCCAGATGTCCCTTCACTCCGACCACCCTCAGCAATGAACTCCCCTTCAGCACGTCAGGAATTTCTACCAAAATGGGGATTGCTGCGGAGGCTTACCAATTTCAATGGGAATTGCTGATTCGGCTCATCTCCAAAAGCAGTGAGCAGTGCCTAGGCAGAGGGGGCTTTACAGGGGTCAGGAAAATTGAGATGGTGCTCAGCTAGAAGCCAGCTAGTCAAAACCAGAGCACAGGGACTCTTCCCACTAACTTCCAGTCATACTCCAGCAGTGAATTCCCAGAATAAATCACTTGCCAAAATAAATAAGAAGGATCAAAATCCAATGCAACTGCCTTCTGTTTCTGAATACCAGGAACATGAAAAAGAACTGCCAGGTGTCCTGACAGAAAAAAGGAAAGAAAATCCAAAGCCAGAGAATGACACGTTAACTAAGATAGTTAACAATACAAAACCATTTCCCACCTATCTTAACTTCTTCTGCTTAGGATTTGGCTCCATTAAATAAGATGCTTTTGGCGTCTGAGCTGGTATACAGCATCCTTTTTATAACAGAGGATGAAGAGAAAAATCCAGATCTTCTAGAATGTAGAGAACACCAAACCCACCAACCAACACCCCACAAAATTATCACCAAATTGAAGCCATTACTTCTTTCAGTCAAAAAGCCCCAATAGCAATGGTATGAAGCTAAAAGAGTGGCTTCCTATGAGTGAAATGGACTGCTGGCTGTAAAGAGTTCACCTATTGGAGTCCAGCAAGAAAAAGTTAAAGATTAAAGAAATACCGAGAGGTTAAACATTAAACCTATTCCAATGGCTTCTCGTAAAGTTAATGACCTACATGTGGGTTTTTTCAAATGAAGGAGAAAGTACGAGTTTTAAAGTGTTACAGAAAATGGTGCATGTCCACAGAAGACTGCTGGAGGGATGTTTTCAGCTGACCAAAACAGTTCTAAATACGGATTTTTTTTTTTTTTTTAAAAGAAGTATTTTTCCATTCGCCCAGAAAGACCAAGAGGATCTAGAACAAGAAGTGTGACTATACAGACATTGGTGACTTTCAGAGGAAAAAATAAGGGGAAGCATCCCTTCC